TGTGATGCCCGCCGGGCCTTCATATCGGGCTTCGATGGCAGCGCCGGCACTGCTTTAATCACCCAAAAAGAGGCGCTTCTCTGGACGGACGGCCGTTACTTCCTTCAGGCGGAGAAACAGTTGGACCACAACTGGGCTTTGATGAAAGACGCCATTCCAGGGACACCGACTCAGGGCGAGTGGCTGTGCAAGAAGCTCCCGTCCGGGAGTCGAGTCGGTGTCGACCCCTTTGTGATATCATACGAAACGTGGAAACCATTAGCCGCTCAGTTAGAGTCGGCCGGCCATACATTAGTGCCAATCAATGACAATCTCGTGGACGAGGTGTGGGATAACAGACCGTCGCCGCCAAATAAAACGGTAGACCCTTTGCCTTTGGTTTTCGCGGGAAAGGGTTGGAGGGATAAGATCGTCGAAATCAGACAAGAGATGATCAATAAGGGAGCGACAGCTCTGGTTGTGACAGCACTCGATGAGATCGCATGGCTTTTCAATCTGAGGGGATCTGATATTGAATTCAATCCTGTTTTCTTCGCGTATTCAGTGATAACTCTCGACAACATATAGTGAGAAGACTTTGAATCATTTATTTTAATCGTTTATTTGACTTTTTATTCGTTTTGCAGTTTATTTATCGATGAAAATAAGTTGAGTCCCGAGGCGTCCAAACACTTACAAATCGATGTTTCATTGAATCATCAAAACTCAGGCCTTAGTATTGAGTTACGTCCGTATAGAATGATCAAAGAGTTTCTCAAGTGGTTGATCAGTCAACTGCCCGGAAAGATATGGGTATGTATTGTCTATTGACTGTCACATAGTGGTTACAACTCTACAACTAATATCTCTTTTGGTGGCAATAGATAAGCCATAAGTCGAGCTATAGTCTAGTCAGTGTTGTACCAGAAATGCGAAGAATTGAGTCCTTAAGTCCCGTTCAGCTGAAGAAAGCGGTCAAGAATTCCGTTGAAATCGAAGGAATGAAAAGATCACACGTGAGACCAGTTTTCTTATAAACGTTTTTATGTTTGCATAGCATTTGCATTCATTACTTGATTTGACTTAATTTGCAGATCAAAGATGCTGTCGCTTTGTGCGAGTTCTTCGCGTGGCTCGAAGAGGAGGTGCCAAAAGGGGACGTCAATGAGTTGTCTGCCGCTGAAAAACTGGAGGAGTTTAGAAGGTTTGTCGTTAAACCTATTTAATGAACACAAATGTCTTATATTTATTAATCCTATGACTGATTAGAGCACAAGAAGACTATATGGGTCCGAGCTTTGAGACTATATCGGCTTCGGGACCCAATGCTGCTATCATTCACTACCGTTCCACTGAAGAGACAAACAGACCCATCACTGCGGATGAGATATACTTATGTGATTCTGGGGCGCAATACAGGGACGGGACGACAGATGTGACGCGAACCATACATTTGGGAACGCCGTCCAACTTCGAGAAGGAATGCTTCACTCGTGTAGTCAAAGGCCATATAGCGCTGGCGTCCGCTATATTCCCACAACTATTGAAGGGGCAAATGTTAGACACGTGCGCCCGCAAGGCATTATGGGATGTGGGACTCGACTATTTGCACGGAACGGGCCATGGGGTCGGTATGTTTTTGAACGTACACGAGGGTCCTATGGGCATCAGTTATAGACCATATCCCGATGATCCGGGTCTCGTGGAGGGCATGATTCTGTCGAATGAGCCCGGATTTTATGAAGAGGACAAGTTTGGGATTAGGATTGAAAATCTTGTGCTCATAAAAAAGGCAAACACTAAGGTATGACTGGTTTGTTGTCTTTTAGTTTTTGTTTCTGTTTGCTATCGTTTGCTATCATTTCAGATATAAATTAAATTTTTATTTCAATAAAGAGACAAATCTTATGATTTAAAATGCTTTTGAGAGAGAAAAAGAAACAAAAATTGTAATTTAAAAGAGGTATCAAAAAACAAATCAGTTTTGAGTTTTGTTTTCTTAGTTTTCGTTTACTTTTTCTCATTTGTGTTCCTCTTTTGAAACGTTATGTTTTGATTTATTGGACGATAACTCAGAATATATTCATTTTATTAATTAGTTTTATATTTTGTTTTTTCATACAAAAGTCGCAAAATGTGAAACGGCTTTCATTTGCGAAATTAGATTTGTATTTAAATTAATTTCCAGTTTTTCATTTCGCAAAACTCTAATCTGATTTCACATGATTTATACAATACGAGCAAACGGTGTAACTATTTTGTTATGCATTTAATGAACGAATTATTGTAATTAATTATTTTATTTACTCTTTTTGTCTTTTCAATTTTCAGTACAATTTCCGAAATAGAGGTTATCTTACATTTGAAACAATAACTCTTGTGCCCATTCAGACAAAACTTCTTCAGCCATCACTGCTAACCAGTGAGGAAGTGAGTGAATCGTTAATTAATTTTTGTTTTATATACCATTAATGCGCCAATCGTTTGTCACACAAGTTTATCTATTTCATTAAGCGTAATATTTGTTGCCATAAATGTTATAATTTAATCAAAAATTTATTTTATTCAGTATTTTAATAGAATTAATTTAATATATTTGATTAAACTTGTGTTATAAACGGCATATAGGCAAATAAATTCTTAATTGACTCATTTTGTTAATTAAATCAAACAATTAATGATTTATGAATTGAAAACAGATCTCATGGCTTGATAATTATCATCAGACATGTCGTGATATTGTTGGTAAAGCTCTTGAAGAACAAGGAAAGAGTAGTGGTCTTCAATGGCTTCTGAGAGAAACCCAACCATTGGGTTGATTACAGCCAATGACTGAATTAATTGTTATGTAGTATTAGATCTCCGCTTGAATTAAAGCAAAGAAAGTGCCAAAGCCTTCGATGTCTTCAAATGCCTGCAAATGGTTCTTGAATTGTCTAAATCATTGTCCGACGAATAGATTAGTTTAGGTTTCAAATGATTTCTTAATTTATAAATAGTTTGTTATAAATCATACAAATTGAATACAAAAATGACTGATATTTTTAGACAAAATCAGAATTTTTATATGTTTTATTAAACCAAGAATTCCAATAAATATTTTGTATAAAAATAAATTAAATGTTTACTTTTACTTCAAATAGGGATCACTTTCTATGATTAGGGCTTCTTTTGTTTTCTTAATAACTGTGAGGATTTCACAGAAAACTATTAATTGCCAATAGATTACAAACCTTTTTCTATAATTTTCTTACGCAGGGATTTAGTTGTTTTGTTAAATGATTTCAGTCATCGCCACAAATGTTTTTAAACAATCCTTTTTATAAATTCATTATAATTTAATACTCATTATACGATTCAAATGACTTGTGATATAATATAAATATATAATATATCTTAATTGAAGAAATTGGCGTTAATTTTATGATTTGTAAGATTTGCATTAAAAATGAAAAAGAATTGATTATAAAATTTATTTGTCACCTAAAATATAAGTTAATAATTTTTTATTTGACCTATAATTTGGATTTTAAATTTAATGTCTGGTAGTAGTCGATGAGTCTTTGAGCCTCCCTCTGACCGGATCTCATGGCCCCGTGAGTTGTCGAATAGAAGTCTCTGTCACTGGCCTCTCCTCCAAACAAAATTAGTGGACAGTCGACACATTGGTTGACATAATTGCAATGTTTTGTCTTGCAAATAGGTTCAGACAACTGGTCGATATCGCAGTTGAGTTTCTGGTAATCTAACGATCGGTTACTATAAGCGCCGCAAATGTATTCATTGGACGACCACTTCGAGCGAATCACTTTCGATGGATTCTCTATTTGGATGCCTCGCAAGAATAGTCTCAAGACATCGGCACAAATGTTGCCCACAATCTCATCACTTTCTGTTTGTTCCATGAGTTGTGCGCCATTGCCTGGAATGCATAGAAGTGATCATTTCGTATGATATCAACTTTGTAAGGACTAATCATCAACTTGCTTAATATATAATAATTAGATTCATACCTCCTATCCAAGCGACCAATACGTGTGACTGTTCTCTAACCAAATCAAATCCTGTTATATCGTAGACCCAAACCGGGAGGTTATGGTTATGTTGTGTCCAAATCAGTTGAAACCCTTTGTCGTCACTCTTCCAGAAAGGGTTTTCGAAATATAAATATATTTTATCAATAGTTCCGAATCCAAGAGTCCTTATAATATTGATCTTATTTTGTGGTAAAACAAAACCGAAAAATGTGTCCAAATTTTTCCTCATAAACCCAATCGATGACGTGATTATCAAGTGATCAAACATTTCTATTGTCCTTCTATTCCCTTCTTCTACAGATAGCTTCACTCTAAAGGTTTTGTTGCAAACTTCTATCCGTTTGACTGCAGTTTTCAGGCGAATCATATCCCGAGGAATTTCATTGACCATTGAGTCCAGTATGGTTTGATAGCCATCCTTGAAGTTTATTAAATCAATTCCATGGCATTCATTGTATTGTGTATACGATAGCAATGATATATCATTCAAATCATTGCAAGAATTGTCTATTACTTCGAATTTGATGTACCAATTGAATAAAGACCACAACAATTGCTTATTAATCGGCGGACAATCTCCAGAATCGATGTATTTCTCGAAATTAATTCTGAATATTTGTTGTGCAGAAACTAATTCATTAGGATTTAAAGACTGATCACTCATATCGTCTTTAATTCGGTGTAAATAAGAAATAATTTCATTAATTTCTTCATTGTTGAGCAGTTCTCCCGAATCCGTACAGAATATTCCGGTGCCTTCGATACCAAAATCATGTCTGGGATTTGAGATAAGGTCACGTTCTTTGGCCATATAGTAGAGAGGGTTTCCATGTTGTCCGTGAAGCCATTGGGCGCCTAACTCTAGTATACCATTCCCTACAATCAAGTAATTAATTGAATAATTTAAATATATTTTAAAAATATTTTTCAACTCTTACCGAAATTTATTGTATGAATACGTCCTCCTATTCTATCCAATGCTTCAAAAATAGTGATTTCGTTGAATCCGTTTTCGTATAGTTTTTGTGCTGCAGTCAGGCCTGCAATACCGGCCCCAATAATTGCCACACTTTTAGACATCATATGGAATATGAAACATATTAATTACATTAAAAAATAAATAAAATGTGAATGAAATATAAAATGTTTTTTCCTAATACTATATATTCCGAGCCATGACTGAGTGACTGAGCGCCGGAATACGCAAACGCCAACTATTGAACACATTATATGATCCAAAAATTCTTGACATTTTTGTAGAGATTTTCAGGTTTGGATTGAAATCAAGTCGAGAACCCGGCGTTGAATAAACCCTGATACTGTATACAATTTTGAAGATAAATCACTGGAAAAGCACATGCATTCAAAAGCATGCATTTTATCATTAGTTTTATCTGAAATCTTTTCACTTTTCAATGCCATCGCATGAGTCGAAGGAATTAAATTCAATGTTTGCTTTCTTTTCAATCTTACTCTCAATTAGAGCTGAGTTTTGAAAGCATTTAAACTTTTCATCAAATATTTAACAAATTGCAAATTCTGGTCAAATCTAATCTATGGACTTATTATAAAATTACAAATAGTAAAATAGATATTTATAAAATTACATTATTTCAATAAATGTCATATAGTTACATGATAATTCTTGTAGTTTCTTATAAGTTAACTATTTATAACAAAATTATTAAATATCAATTTTTCGAATTATATTTTGTACAACTATTATTTTTATCTAAATAATTTTTTATATAAAATATAATTAAAAACAATATTATTTTGAATGTTATAATATGAATGGGAAGAAAAGAATACATTCAGGATTATAACAATAATTTATAATATACTCATTAGTGACATATAAACTTGATGTACGTGATGTAATGTTTAATTATGTATTAAAAATAATTAATATTATATTTATAACTGACTGAATTATAAATAAATAAATATTAATATTGACATTATTATATAAATAATAACAAAAGACAAATTTAATTAATTTACAAGTTTTAATAAATTTGTTAATTCATGCAATATAAATTAAAGTTCTTTACATTAGCAAACTATTGCTTTTAATTAAGAATATAAAGTATTTTATTACAGACATAATAAAAAAAGTATATAAAAGTCATTGATTGATTAAATAATGACTGAAATAGTATCGATTGCTCAGTGAATGGCATAACATTTGGTCTCATAATAAGTCTAATTATTGAAGCCATCGTTATCTCTAATGAGA